AACCGGTACCTGGTGTCAGGGCCTCCATTTTATAGGGGCAGAAGGAGAGAGGGAGGTGGATGGTTTATATCCCGCAACTAACCAGCTGCATAACTGAAACTGGGTAAATTTACTAATACCTCATGAATTTATCTGATTGTAGTTGGGCACCTCAAATAACTGTATTTAATCTGGCTAATACTGATTTTTTCCTAATCCGGTATAGCAAACGTACTTCTTGACTTTTAACCCATTTGCACTGTTTGCCAGGAAACCCCTTCTTAAGATACAAGGTTTGTTATCCCACCTCTTTGTCTCGATTTTTGCTTAAAGTGCTCTGGGAATATCTTTTTTTTGGCTGTTTCTTGTAATTTAGTAGTTGTAGAGTCTCTGTAGGCATGGCCGCCTTTGGTTTGCTTTTTGCCTGTGCCTTGTCCAGCACGATGAAGGCTGAGTGCTCTACAAAAATGTAAATTTTAAGTAGTTGTGGTGATTATGAGCATTGTCAGCTTCATCTTTTATTAATCTCTTTGATGGTCCCAAATTCATTACTTCCATCTTTCCTGTGGTTTGGAAAACGCCAGGCTTCATTCTTTTCTCATTTACGTTGAAGTAAATGATTAACTCTACTGAAGTAGTAAAATGCCAACTGGTTAACAGGGGTGTAAGCGAGAAGGGAATTAGCATCTGTCTGGACTTCGTAGCTCAAATTGTGAAGTTTTGGTTCTTTAGTGGATGAAAGTATTGTTACCAAAGCACGCTCGGGCTTGATTCTCTTTTCGGGCTTCCTGTGCTAACGTATGATGACGTTTTTTCTACATAAAGCACAGGTTTCGGTATTCTCATTCCTGTGAGGCCACGGCTTTACAGAGCCATGCAGATCATGGTAATTTGGGCGTTACGCTTGTTATTTAATGCAACTTTTATCATGTTTTGTATTGGTAACTAATTTTTGTGGGCTGTTGAAGTGTGTTCGTGCTGAGGAAATGGGTCCGCAGCAGCGTTTGCTCTTCTATTGTGCATGAGCTGCTGGAGAAACGACATTTGTGCCCAGCGTTTAAATGTGACCATCCGATGTTGTAGCCCCGCGTTTCACTTGGCTGGTCAGTAGCTGGTTCTCTGCTTTGTACCCATGTAGAGCGTGGGCAGCATCGCTGAGGTGGGAGTGGAGAGTCTTCGGTGGCTCGGGTCAGCACCAGCGCCTGTGTTGTTCTCGTAGTAAGCACACAGAGCAGCTCCCCGTGCTGACCTAGTTCTGTGGTGTGTTTTCAAGGAGGCAAGATATAAACCATTCATTCCTTAAACTCCGCCTGTCAGGAACTTAACTGGGAATCGTTTTAAAGCTTGATTCAAGACAAGTGTTTCAACAGTTGTACAGATGCTGAAGGAGAGAACGCAAGTCACTTTAGGTTTTTGTTACTTTAATATTAGAAAAACAAATGTAAATGGCAGCTAGCAGGTTAGTTGCATGGAGAAGCACTCCTTTTATTGGGGAGCAATCTGCTCCATCCTCCCAAAGTGGTACAGTAGAAGTAAACCTCGTGAACAGCAACAAACAGCTCTGCAAACCTGCCTGGTCTTTGAGCTTCCCTGTCAAGCTTTGGTCAAGACTTCTTGTGCCCAGCTAGCAGCAGAAAAACCTCGGCGGTAGGTTTGAAATGAGGCTGGTGTCTGTGTTCCCTGGCTGCAGGAGAGATTTCCACGTCTTGGAAAACTTGGGTGAGTTCCCTCTTTTCTGGTTTCCTTACGCCGGATGAAGTTGGGCTTGATGACCCAACAGCACTTACCATCCTTGCGGCAGAGGGTTTGTGGCTTTTGTAGTTTCTGCCACGTTTTGTGTGTCCGAGCTGAAATGGGAGGATTGACCCATGGAGGTGCCATCTTGGCAGCCGTAATGGGCTCTGAACTTGATCGGGGTGGGTGGTCTTCTTTAAATTAAAAAAAGAAAGTTTTTTTAAAAGTTCAAAATAGAAAGAATGTGCATAGAGAACCTTTCTTTAGATTTCTGTGTATTCTCATGGACAGGTATCTGAAACCGATAGCTTTAAAGCAGAGTAGTGCCCGTGTGCTTAAATTGCACAACTGGCGCAGGAGCTGGGCACTTCATTTGTCGTGCCCACTAAGTTCGGTTATACGCAGTTGTTGAATTTTATGTCTGTTAATTCGGGCAAGGTCAACAGGTGGGAAAGGGAGGAGGTGGAATTTCTCCCGGTAATTCCCATGTGAGCCAAGGACACCGGGGCAGGATGGCGGTAGGGATTTTGGCAGCTGTTCTGGGTTTGTTGTTGATACTGACCGAGAAGGAAGTTAGAGCTTCAAATATTATTGAATGCTGAGAGACTGTTTGGGCAACATACCTTTTGAAAACAAAACATTCTTGATTTGGTTGTTAAACAGTAAATATTTACTTCCCTCTGCGGAAGTGTTGCATAACATTTTATTACTTAAACAAACCTGAGCTTACTGTGAGCGTGATGGATTGGATTTTGTGCCGCGCTTTCTGTACTGCTGTCCTTCCTGGCAAAGTTGGACCATCACGGTGAAGAGGCAGGGTTTGACCCTCAACTCAGTCCACTCGTTGCCCCAGAGTTTTTGCTGAGTTTCAGCAGTTGGGATTTTACCAAAATTTCTGTTGTCAGAGACAGAAGCAAACTGCCTTCTACTGAAGTTTCTAGACCCACTCAGAGGGCTGTAAGGCAGCAGGACAGTTTCAGAGGGTGGACTCAATTTGCTTTTTCCAAACAGCAGAAACTACGTGTGCGTGTGAGGTCACTTTTGGTATTATAACCATTTTACACACAAGATTCCTGATGTAAGGCATGGGGCTCGTTTAAAGCTCTATTTTTTTAATCCAGTTCTGCATCTCTTGTTGTTAATGGTTTTCCCAAACACTTTGGCTCAAAGGTTTTTTGGTTTATTTGTGTGGGTTTTTAAAGCTACTTCTGTGGGAAAGTTCCTACAGATGTTGTAACTCAGATTTCATTTCCTGTATCGAGAAACAGTGAAAGGATTATGTACAAGTAAGGTTAAAACATATATTTTTAAAATTTAATTTTTCAAGACTTGGTGCTAACTTTACATTAGTAATATTTTTAAATGGTTCTTCTCAAAACATGCAGTCTTTTAAAGACCTGCTTAGAAGGTATATGTTATTGGAGGAAGGGGAAATAGCTATCCTACCTCTCTGTCCAGGCAGCCTTCAGAAAGAGGGAGCTGGAATGTGACCTTTCTTTTTTAGTGTCCCTTGTCTCTGTGCTTCAATAAACCAAATATGTCTGCAGGGGAGGGGGGGAAACCCAAACCCAAACCTTTCCATGGAGTGAAATCAGGCTGGTAGTGTGTGTTGTGGAATACAGTGCCGGTTAATTAAAATGCAGTGCTTCCAGCAGCTTCTTGCATCTTCAGTGTTTCCTGGCTTCCTCTTCCACACCTTACTGAGTTTTTTCCCCTCACTTTGTGTCCTGTTTTCACCTTCCATTGCTTCCTGTGCCCCTTCAGCCCTCTGTTGTGTTTACCCTGTTTTAAACCCTGTGGGTTTTGAAAGACAAGTATGCCTGCGGGTGCTGGCATCTGTCTTAGCTCCAGTTTTTTGGGGTGCAGCACCTGCCCTCTTCCTGGGGCGATGCTGAAAGTGCGGCTTCGTACCGAGGAGCAGTTACAGCACTGGGAGAGCAAGAGCAAACTCCCATTGTCACTGGGAATGGGGAGCTCAGTGTCCTTCTCCTGCTCTTGTCGCATCTTCGATTCAAGGGTTTTTGTGGTTTTTTTCCTGCCAGCTCTCCAGGTAGGTTTCCAAACTCAAACTTTTCATAGCTTAAAAAAAAAAAAAGTAAAAATATCCATGGCTGGTGGCTGCCAGTATATGGGCTCAGAATCAGTAATTTCACTAGCCTTAGCCAATACTTTGGGATTTCTCAAAAATTTGTTGTAGTGTTGAGAATGTTTGTAGTATTGAAAACTGTATAAATGGGTGGTTTATTTTTTGCTAGGCTTTAACTAATAATATCCATCTCTCCTTAGTTTCATTGGAGTTGAAATTTGATGATGTAATTTTAGTGAAGACCAAGGGACAAAGAAATTGATGACAGGTCTAAAACAAATGAATTGTTGGCGACAGTGAGCAATGGTCTAATCATTCTGTTGCACTTGCATATTTAAGAGCAACACCATAAAAGTCATGCTTGAACACACTTAGGAGCTGCAGGAAAAAGTTGAAGCGACTGCACTGTTTTAGTGCTCCTGAAGATTGCTTTTAAAATAGTTACTTCTGTGCACCTTCTGAATTTAACCAAATTCTCCTGTCTTGTTTAGCAGGGTGCTTTAAACTGCCTCCTAAGGTGAGAAAGGAAAAGAAGAGCCTGTGAAATAGAGTAGCCAGTCTTGTTGGTTGGGGGAAGTAGACTCCTAAGTGCTGAGCGCAGTGATAAATGTACAGCATAAGAAATGAATAGCTAATTGTGTAAACTAGACCTTCTCAACCAGTGCATAGGCTTTTATTAAGAAGAATTGTGCCATCAACTCTTCCCCAAAACGCACAATTTGCAGTTTTACATAACTGTGTTGTTTAAATTGAATTCAGTTATAAAACATCAAGAAACTTTCTGCTATGTGAAAAGCATAAAATAACTTACAAGTAGTGCATTATTGGTGGAGAGAACCGGGACGATATTACGCAGCAGCAGAGTTTTAGCTATATTTGTATTTCTTACAGTTTTAGAATGGCTTGTAGAGCTTGTCATAGCAACAAAGTAGTTATCACAATTATTCCAAGAAACTAGGCGAGATTCAATAACTTACTAGAGGGAAATTATTTTGTTGATCGTCCTTGATACTACTACCATTCCTATGATTTCCTCCTCATCCTTTTTGCTTTTCCTCGTTCCTCCCGTTTTCCCCGCAGGCAGCAGTCACAGCTGCACGCATGGTGGTTTGTGTGTCGTCCTCTCTTGCTCCTACTTCATGTTTTTTACCTTTGCCCACCCTGTTTCGCTCTTTCCTTGTGTCCTCCCCTCAGTCCTCAGGCTGCTTCCTTCAGGGGAAGGAAGGGGCTGTCCGCATCCTTCACGGTGAAGGGTCAGGAACACCTTTGCTCGGCCAGCGTCCAAGCTGAGTGCTGGCATCCAGTGGAACCTTGCTGGGAAAGCAGCGCTGGAGAGCTGGACCTGGCTATCTTATCTTAGCCACCCTCTATTGAGACTTAGAAATCTGCTTGTGTTGCCAAGAGATTTACAACTGTAATCGTCCAAATATTTCTAGAAAACAGACCAAAAGCTGTTGGTTTTGCTTATATTGCTACTTGTTTACTGATTGAATATGCCAGGAATGAAGTTTAACTGTGAGAAATAGCATGCCAGTCCTTCAGATGTTTGGATCAGGGATAATTCTTTGCATTTAGTTCTGCCAGATTGAATTTATCAGTTTTGTCTGTGTCCAGAGGTCAGCAAGTGAAAGAATGTAGGAGTTCAAGGGGACTTCATACCCCCACCCACAGCCAGGACCTAGCAGAGCCAAACCACTACATGGGAAATACGAATATGTAAAAAAAAAGAATTTCTTTTGACAAAATCTGGATATCTTGACTTTCATTTTTGTCTATGTCTTCGTATATCATCTTCAGAAAAGTGAGTTATTGGAAGAGTGGCTTTTTGCAAAGGGCAGGAGTTTCAGAAAAGCCAGTAGGGTTGAGAACCACAACTCCAAAGGAAGGACAGTGGAGTTGGTGCTTTTGCTTTGGGTATTGACATAGTCACTACTGAGCTTTCTTAAATAAGGCACACGTTCATTATTTTGCTTGCAAGGAGGACTGGTGCATGGGTTAATACTGCCATTACGCCCAAGTCTGGATGACTTCAGGTAGCCCACGCTTACTGTGTTTGTATGGGTGCCACTTCTGAACTGTATTTACTTGGTTCTGCTGCTTAAGCAGCAGTGTGGTGAGTGGCATCATGGTTAACTTGACGCGCTCCCGTTCCATTTAAGTAGTTAATAATTACATTGTGATTTTAGCTGTTCATTTTGTACGAAACCGCCTATTTGTAACGTGTAAACACTTTTTATGTCTCTTGTGAGGTAGTTAAGAAGATGGCCAACCCTAAGTTATTACTTCATAATAATGGGTTTATGAAACTTGTGTTTGTGATTTTATAGGCTTATTCTTTATATTTATTTCCAGTATAGAACTGTGCAAATCAGCAGTTGATCAACACCCATTCAGCCATTTCTGTATTCTCCAATTATACATTATAATGATAAACTGTGGTAGTTAAATGGTCTACAGATCTAAATTCACCTCCTGGATCACAGAAGATTTAAGAACCAGTTAAAGAAAAAAAGGGGAGGAGGGGGGATTGTTTGGAGAGCGAGGGTAGAGCATAGACTCACTGTGTGATTTTCTGTTGTGCGTTTTAAAGTTTTATGGCCCATGTTGCATCCCTTGGGAGGATAAAGTGCAAGGAGCATGAAGAAACCCATAAAATTACGAAGGGTTTATGTGGTATAATTAATATGGAACTTTCCATGAACTTTATAACAGTTGTACTTTCTTAATTTTACACGAGTTTCTGGTTTGGTAATAAGTAATCTTGAAGATTGCTAATGGAACTTAGATTTTGGATTTTCATGCTGAATTATAACACTATATGTTGTAGGCTGCTATATTTTAGTATATAGCTTCCTTACTGTAGTTTTCAGAATTGGCTGTGCATGCCTTGTGAAGCATTTTTGAGCTGTGGCCAGCTTTGCACTAAAAAAACCCCATGTCGATACAGCTTTACTGGCAAATCCTCCTTGTGCAAGTGTAACTTTGCTTGCAAAAGCACTTTTTATTGACACTGGATGGGTTTGCAGATCACAATGTCATAAGTCGCACCCATAGCAAAAATAATACAAGGAAGAAAGTTCAAGTACAAATTTGGCCTGGATTTGCACAGTAAAATCAAATAAGCATTGTGAAACTGTAGCTCCTTTTTTTAACTACAGAGGAAATTTTAGTTGTAAATAAATGTAAAATATTCCCGCTGGGAGGTGCTGGTTGCTCTGTAAGTTGGGCATGGATGCTAAGCAGTGTTGATTCTTATTCCTCTGACTTTATCAGAAGACTCTATGGTAGGTGAGTGGGTACATCAGGTTGATTAGAAATGACAGATTTGATTCAAACCAAAGGACAACCTCTTTTTTTTTTTTTTTTTTTTTTTACTCCGCCTCCCTAAAGATTTACGTGTTTTAGTCGGAAGGATTGTGATTATTTGCGAGGATCGTGAATAGCAAAGCGATAGGTGATTCGGAGGAATGTGAACCCTTGGTAACCAGTCTGTAGGTGAGGATGACGGATCCTGTGCGATGATGCTTGGGAATCTGCTGATGGCAAACGCTATACGAAGGAAACTGAATCACGGAGTGGAGGTCCAGGGGTGACCGAGGTCTGCCAGCACCGTTAGTGCAGCTGGGGGAGCAATCCTCCTCTCCTGTGCCCGGCTTCCCCAATTTATCTGCATAGACGTTCCTCCATTTGGGAATATGTCATGAATGATTCGAGCGGGCGAGGAAGCGAGTTTTTAAGCAAGTGTGTGTGCATTGTTTGGGGCAAGGCACTTTCTTGTTCTTAATCCTCATAGCTGGCTGGCCAACTTTGTCATTTTCCAAGGTCAGACCTGTTCTAGAGGTTATTGAATTCAGGATTCCCTTCCCATAACATGATTACTGTGTGTCATTCTTACCACGCAGCTAGAGGATTCTTTACCGAAAAGCCTATCGGATCGAGGCAGGTGGCAGTTGTTGTTTTCCATATTGGGGATTTTTTGGAATGAAGAAATGTCGTTGCTAAACACAGAAAAGGGAAACATATGTGAGATGTAGTCACATTACAGGATGATGAAAATGACCTTCCATTGGTATAATAACACAAAGGTATGAGATGCTAACAACAGGAGTTGGAAGGTTTAGATTAAGCAAGTTCTGATAACTTCTACCAAAACATTTTTAAGGGATCTATTATCCATAGGCACTTTCTGGATTAGTAATACTGATAATTGATGACAGTGGAAGAAAGTTAATAAAATGAGCTGAATAATTAGAGGTCTGCTAGCCCTGCAAAATAATGGAATGAATGATAGAGGACTTGACTGATATGGAGGTAAGGGGAAGTAATACAATTAATGTCAATTAAAATGTGCCCATGGAAAATAAGCTGATGAGATGTAACCGGGGATGTAGTTTGGCTGATAAAAGCAATAATGTGTGCTGTAAAATACTTTGCCGCCTTAATGAATTGAATGTAGCGCAATGCAATATTTTGAATGAGAAATGAGAATGGTATAAAATTAATGTAGGGAACGTTAAGTAGGTACCAGCTAAATTGGATGGCAGATCTGAAAATACAGATGGGAATGGCTGGGGGCTGCTGTTGCAGCGGGGCCCTGCTCAGCTCCGTTCTTTGCCTCAAGCAAGTTGGTGTCTTTGTGGATAACCCCAAGTGTGAGCAGCCGGGGTAGTGGGAAATAACAAAGGTGACAGTCACATGTGCAGAACATTGACTGGGAAAAAGATGTGGCCAAAAAGCCCTGTAGAGTAACGGTCTGAGATACTCGATGTCAAACTAGAAATCCTGGAATGGTATACAAAAAAGTAATTGAGAGAACCTTCTTCCCAATTTCTTTATCAGTTCAGCAGAGATCAATACTGCCCGACTGCTCGTTCACCCAGGAAGAAGTACGAGACTGGCAACCCTGTTTACTTAGTCTAACGCAGTCGTACAGTAAAGTTCCCAATAACTCAGGGAGCGCACAGGACTCATAAATTATAGAGCAGCTCACGTTTATCATACACATCACTGCTTATCTTGTAAACTCATCTGCTGTGCTTGCACGAGTAGTTGATTTAACAGCATGTATATTGTTGAACTTGACACATTCAAGAGTATAATCAAGCTTTACAAATACTAGGGATGTCTAGCTGCTGGTTTGTGCTCTTGGCCCGCTTTTTAAAGTGATTGCAGGACGGGTTCTCTCTGGTTTGCTGCAGGTCATGGGAAATTTCTGTATTGTATGTAATTGCAGGGGAGTTTTATCATGATGCTGGCATCTGTTTAATGACATAAAACGATGAGATGTGTAAAAGGAAAAAGTTAATATCCTTTTTCTGTACACTTCCAAATGGGAAATGACTATAAATTGATTTTGTAGGGTAAAATGCCAGTGAATAAGTGTACCACTCGTATACCACTGCCCAGTATCTGTCATGCAAAGTGTGAGAACAGCGGAAGAAGGCAGAGATGGGGGGTTTTAGAAGGAGAACTAGTAAAACTCCTGTGCTGTAGCTGGGATGTCTTATCCTGCTGCTCCAATTCCCTTTTCTGTAGGGACTGATTTGGTCTATAAACATGCACAGTTCGTGGATGCTCTGATTCTTTAGGTGGTGTTAGAGGGGTGATAGACATAATTGAGTTAGTGCTTCTGGGACGTCTGCGGGCTGTTGTTGAGGTTTTGGGGTCTCTTTTTTGTTTTGTTTTGTTTTTTAAGGGGAATAAATGCACCTTCTACAATTCTAGCAACAAAAAAGAATAACTTTCTATTCTTTGGTATTTCTGCTTTTGAGACCCCCTGGGTATGGTGAGGTAGGAAGATTTCCATCCCTCTACCTCACTCTCACATTGAGGAACTACATTCACTTTCTGAGCTGTCTGTGGAAAGAAAAGTAACCTGTTTTTAATCAGCTATAGCCCATTTTAGTTTTAAATGAACTAATAGACCTTGAGTTGCATTTCTGCTGCAGCTTGACAAAATTATAGCAGGTGCTGGGCTCTGTGCTTATTTACTTGCAAATTCTGTCAAGTGTGAACTTCATTTACGACTTTCCTGGCAGGTCATACCGCTGTGGTCACAGCTTCTATAACGTTTTCTTGCTATTGCTTGTAAAATTTGTCACTGAGGGAAATAATAAGCTAAAATAGACACAGGTAAGCACACACACAGGATCCTCGTGCACAAATCCATCAAAGCTCTTTGCAACCACAAGGAATTAAACTGTATTTGTATTTTGGAAATAAAGGTGCAATTTCAACAGAAAGCCGTATTCTTTGCAATGACAAATTGCCTGCTCTTTGACAAGTGCACTGGTGCGTTTCCAAGTCTTGTCGTAGCTAGGGTCTCCTAGTAGAAACCACCTGTTCTCCTGTGTATACATCACATGTCTCCTCTTCTTTCTAGATGATCATGGGAACAGCAATGGCAGTCATGTAAAAATCTTTTTACCGAAGAAGCTGCTTGAATGTCTACCAAAATGTTCAAGTTTACCGAAAGAGAGGCACCGCTGGAACACTAATGAGGTAGTTAAATCTCTTATTTATTCTTAAACGTATCAGCGTGCTTGATGCTTATGGATTATTTTTTGAGAGCATGCCATGTAAGTTACAGAATATAAATTCCTTGGCTCTGGAAGCTGTTGTTCAAATAATAAAGTCCTATTACATGTTGAAAGTGAGCTTCAAACTAGACTTGAAGGCAAATGTGGACTACTTGCTTGTCTATTCCTTGTGTGTGTGTATGTCACTTATCTCAAAGAGTCAAATCTTGTATCACCTTATTAACATGTTTCAGAATTGCTTAAAATTAGATAGGTGTTTTGGTACCATGTTAAACAAAATGTTATCTTATTACATGTAAAGACTTCCAAACAAAAAACCAGTGCGTGTTCTTTCCTGCCAAACAGGGTCCTGAGAAATAACTAGTTTACTCCTGTCTGAGAAATCTTGTTAGAAACAGGGGGCACAAAGAATTGGGCATTTTATGCTGGAATCCAGTTACTCTGAATGTGCTAGTTTACGTGTCTCCTGTTAACACATCATAGTTGGGTTCATTGAAATGAAACAGAAGTATTTAAATTTCAAGTGTCTGGTGGGCCAAGGTGAAGTGAAGAAGAATCCAAATAGGTCTATGGTCCCTTGCCTTTATTCCTTTTGGGCAGCAAGGCTGGAAGTTACATCACAGTACAGTTTTAGTTTTTAGTAGCACTGTCGGAGTTTAACGACTGCAGGTGGCAAGCTGAGTGCAGAATCAAATATGGATCAGTTCATGTGTGTATTTTTCAAAGTTGGAGTTCGTCATCCCTCCTCCCTCTTTTGTCTAAAAGTTAAAGTCAAGTGTCTATTTTTTAACATGCTAAGTACTGTGACAGAATTAATCAGGTCTTTTGGGGAGTTGCTGGCATTGGCTCTTTTGTGTAGATGTTTTTGTCTTGGGTCATTTGAATGGAAATGTAAATTGTAGAAAATGTGGGTTGCAGTTTATTCTGTGATAGCATTTATACTAATGGGAACAGGGCATGGAGTATTAGCAATTCCAGTGGCTCTAAAAGATGGTGTTTTGACAAAGACAGTTGAGAAGGAAAGCTCTCTGCACAGGTTTGTGGCAGAATGATGCACCTCCTTGTTATTGGAAACAGCTTGTGGTTTTTAGTCACTTTCCTCTAGTATTTCTGTTGTCCCTAGTTTAGAGCCTTGTGTATACATTTACACATGCAGGTTTTCAGCTTTTCTTCTTGAACAATGTTTGGTGTGTGTAGCCTCCAGGGTACAGAGTGTGGCAAAGTTAATCATATAGCTGAAAATCTTTATTAAGCATGATGCAAATGGGAAAGTGTAGGTGCTTGCAAGGTGTATTAGGCTAGAAGAAAAATTTAGGAGCATAGCCTTCCTTTTGAAGGATGCATCAGCATTCTGGAGAGGGGGAAGGTGAAAAGTTTTGATAGTGCTTGCCACCATATTGCTGGTATAGGTTTGTCTCATACCTTAATTCTAGATGGATTGTTTGCTAATAATCACAAATCATCAGCTAATATGTTAAAAAAACAAACCCAACCCTCTCTGTCTTTTTGAACGTCAAGTTTGTCACACTTATTTGTATCTCTTTCCTCCAAAATCTGTCACTGTGGCTGCCACGCAGTGGGGACAAGGAGCTGGTTCTGTACGCGGGTTATTACTGGTGCTGTCTCTGCCAGCGTATGTGGTGTGTCGGTTGCAATTTCCCTATTGCATTATTTAAAAGGAAGAGCTTTTCTTGTGGCCAGAGATTTTTGGCCTCGTTAGCTCAGAGGAAAAAAAAAAGATAAAAAAGGCAGAATCTTACGCCTAGATGAAGTCTTGGAAAATTTCTGTTAATTGTGGGGGAGGAGGGAGCTTAGCTTACAGATTTTATTTCCCTCCCCACCCCCAACCTGGAAGTTTAATTCTGTTCACTGTTACAAAATTTGAATTTTTCTTAGGGTATAATTGAATAATAATGTTGGACTACATTTCAGAGTCATTCCTAAGGGAATACTTTTTTTTCATCTGAGTACACAGGTGTTTTGACTATGCTGGTGAAGACACGAGTTGTAAAATACAGAAGAAAAAGATGTATTTTATACAGTGATACTTCCAGAATCTTTGTGTTAATTTCAAAATCACTGGTACTGCTTGCGAGGTGTCTCACCGGTAGGGAGGTTTATTAAAAGATATAAAAGAAATAAAATGCATAAAGTAACTTACAGATCTGAATATGTCTGTGACATTGCTGTCCTCCCGTATATGTTTGGACAAAACTCATGGATGTCCGGTCTCGCCATAGACTTGCCCAGAGTGCGAGCGCAGTGGGAATTGGTGTGGGATGTGGTGCAGGATGCATCCAAAGGGGCGGCCGGAGCCAGCCCTCCTAACCCAGCTACAACCTGGCTACTTCTCAAAACCTTTAAGCATTGCTTTTTCTGCTCCTTTGTATGGGGATATTTCAAGGAAACTTAACATGGCCCTTGTACGCATCTGCGGGTCCTTGAAATAAAGTGCAAACATATTTTCAGCCACTGGGGCTGGTAGGCAGCATAAAGGGCACGCGTTGTGCGCTGCCGTGTAGGGTCGGTCTGCTGATGATTCCCTTGCATCTGCAAACAAGGAGATGCTGATGCTGAACGCGGAGGTCAGGGAGTAGCTGGGGTTTGTTCTTTTCTCTACCAGGGCGTCACCATGGGAACGCCATAAATAACTTTTTCTGAGCGCTTTCATCTGCAGATTGAGGGTAATGGTCATATGTTGCTCTGGATTGGGTAATTGGGATGGAGAAACAATATCCTTTGAAAGCTGAATAGGTTGTGGTTGACTTTACACTTAGTGAAATAATGCAGCAACAGAAATGGAGCATTTAAAAATGTTTAGAACATGTTATCAAGATGTTTGCTTTCCGTCAGATTATGCAGTTTTAACTGAAATGTTTGATGGAAATACATTTCCATATCAAGATGTCGTCTCGTCTTAAATCAAGTTTATAGTGGTTTTATATTTCCTAGTGAGGGAAGTGTTCCTTCTAATTCAAATTTTTTTTTACCAGAGATACAAAATCATAAGTTTAGCCAAGCAATTTAATTACAGATTTACATTTTTGAGATGCCTGTGAAAGTGTGTGTATGCTTATTTCTCTTGCTCTGGGGGAGGATAGAAAGGGGGTTTTCATAGGATTTCTCATGTTAGGACAAATCAGTTAATTGCCAGAAAATTCTGCAATGCTCTGTGCATGTGAGGGAGTTCCTTGCCTCTTGGATTTTAGTTGTCGGTCATTTTGAACCATTTTAGCGTTTGTGTAATACAGATCTGGTTCTGGTTTTAGTGAGCAGAGGGAGCAAAGACTTCCCATAGCGTGGTGCTGCTTGTAGCTTGCTTGGCGTGCTCGCGGTGCACACTGAGAGTGGATTTTGGGAGCGCTGGGTCTCGGGCCCCTTCCCCGGGGAGCGGGGCTGATGCTCACAAAGCACTGCTGTGCAGAGCAGGCGTCTGCGGGTCTCTTCGGGCGCTCGGCTGAGCTCCCGCTTCGCCCGGCGTGTGTCGGCACTCCCGTCACGCCTCGTCCCCTAATAGAGGTGGCAAAGGTCGCTGGCTTGTTAACCACTAATCATTTTTGGCAGTAAGAGACGTTGTCTGCAGGGAATGCATGCTACTACTTTCTGTCGAGTGACCAGGTTATCTGGGAACCAGGAGCTTCCCAGGCCGCTGCGCTCTCAGCGGCACGGGTCGGTGCAGGAGCTCAAGGGTGTCGGCGTAACCTTGTCTCTGCACGCCGCTTGCCAAGAGCAGGATTGCAGCTTGGAGCAGAGATGCCTTTCATTAATGGAGTTGGCAGCCGCAGTCATTAATCATCCTTGTAAACACTTAATGACACGGTACGAGAAAGAAGAAAAACTTAAACATCGGAAATGTAAAATGCTACCTAGGGCTTTTGTTTCTGACAGTATTCTATATTTACGTTCTCTGTTGGGAAAAGCCCAGAATTTCCATGGTAGAAAAAAACAGAAGTAATTGCTTTGTGTGCTTAGGCTTTTCTTGAGGGGCAAGGCAGAAACGCCCCATTTTCCAATGTGATATCTAGCATCAACTTTTTACAAATTTCAGGCTTAGGTATTGCTTGGTAGTATGCAAGTAAGTGCAATTACAAAACTCTCTATTTGAGCATTATTTAGCATAGGAAGAGATTCTTTGACAGTGTTGCATTGGGGACCTTGAGTCGCGTGCTCACTGACATCTCTGATGTGGTCTTGCATTTTTGCTCTGCTTGCATGACAGTGACATTCTCCTCTTCCGCTTGACATTGAGTTATTTCCCATCTTTTCTCTAAAGCACAGAGAAGATCTTGAAGGTTTGGAGAATTGCCTGAGGGACGTAAGGCACCCAGACTGTTTTGGGAAGTGACTCTCGAGTGTTTGGGCTGGCTATTATGCTATGAAATGCTAGCGAGGAGCAGGTGAAGGCGGTATGTCGTCTGCTGCCTGCTGCTCCAGCCCCCCTCAGCCCCCTGGCAGATGAGTGTCAGGCAGCCTGTTAGCGGCACGGCTCCTGTCATGACAAGTTTGTTCATCAAAGTACCACTCTGGGTAAAGACGGAGCAGTACGGCATACTACTACTTTTTTTTTTTTTTTTAATGCTTTTAAGTGCCTTTTAGAATGAACTCTTATGTCTAAAAACTTAAAACACCCGTTTGTTTTAAGGCTGCCCTGGATGATATGGTGTATTGTAACACCTCGCTACATTACTGTACCAGTTCAAGCCTTATTTATCAAAGTAGTTTCATGTGTTTTAAATTCATGGGGTTGAGAGCAAGCATATGGGATCAGCTTTTGTCATCACCACAGTCAGAGCGAGGAAGGGGTGTCTGTCCAGGTTGCAGCATCCCGTCTGCGCAATGCCATCACGGTGGCAAAACTTGCTGGAAAAGCAACAGCACTCATAACAGTTTCCTGAGGACTGTAAAGTTATTCAGTGTATTTTGTTTAATGCTTTCCATTAAGCTCAAGTTAATTCAGATGTGTTTTGCTTAAGTGCAGAGTTTCCCAGA